TTCGTTTTTTTTTTTACTTAATCAAATTTTGTGTATACAACAACAGCATTCATCAACCTTTTATTGCTGCCAGTTTACATTAAAACAAATAACCAGCATTTGAAATAGTATGCAAAACACACATTTCAATTGTTCTAAAAAAATTGTCTTGAGGTTATCTTCCATATAAATATATATAAATTTAAACAGGGAAGTTAAACTACTGTTTAACAGAGGAAAGATCAATATCTGTTTATGCGATAGAAAGTTAGTTTGATTAGGTGATGAATTTAACCTCCCTGTTCAGAAAAGGGAAGTTTAGCCAAAGACAATTTAACTACCCTGTTTAGACTAGATAAACTAACCACATTGTTTAACCGAGGGAAGGTTAACCGCTTATTTAGCGAGAGGGGGTATTTGTTGGTTTTAGGAGAAAACATCTTTGAGAAATTATATTCACCTCATGCCTCGGTAAATGTATTTTTGTATCATTAAAAATATCAGCATATATTAACATAAATTAACATAAATGGCACTACATTAACATGCTTAAAATGGTATTGTTCTAATCAACAGGAAGCTATCCCGATGACTCACTATGGATTCGCGTTGTTCACGGCCAAGGCATTAGCAGATATGAAGCGTATGTCGACTGATGAAGTCTTGAGGATCTGCAGAAGTAACATCAAACAAGTTTATGGGATTTAGACACTCACTTTAACAGCAGTTTTTTTAGACAATGTAGGCCTACTTGCTTATATGGAATTTTAATGTAGTTTTTAGAAAGATAAATTGTATGTGGTAGGTCTATTTGGACAAATGAATGTATTCTTTGAAAATCTAATTCTTACAATCAGACAAATTAATTATAGTTTTTAAGCAATTTTATAATATTTTTAAACAATTTAAGAATATTCTTTATTGAAAATTTCAATGTAGCTTTTAGACACATTTAGATTTTTGAAAAAGAAAGTAGCTAATTTAGTATACTTCAGACTTTAAAGTTTTCAAAAAAATGTAGTAGTAGGTTTAGACCTTTTAGAGTTAACTTTGAAACTAAATAACTGTAAGGTTTTGTGTTTCAACTAAGATAATGAAATTGTATTTAAAATATAGCCAGCAAGAAACATACTAGGTTAGTATTCTCGGGACGTCCGTACATTACAACACACGACTCTTTTGTTATGTCGTCACAAAAAAAGCTTAACCCATCACAAAATTTAGGCCACCGCTACCCACCCCGATTGGTTACAAAAATATTTAGCATGGGATTCTTCACGTTTATCATCTTTCTGAGCTTAACCTAAAAAAAAACAGTAGAACCAGATTCGAAATCCCCCCACCCACTCCCCCTCCTCTGCATCCATATACTATTTGGAATTCTTCTAGACATATCTTCTCTTCAAATAGAAAACATATACTTTTACCAGTGTCCGCCCCCCCCCCCCCTGAAAAAGTAGTCCGCCCCTCCACCCCCGACAAGTGCCCCTCCCCCCCGGAGAAAAAAGTCTGAAAGAAATACTGGGCGATATTTACGGACGTCCCCTCCAATAATAAACCAATAATGCTATTTATATATTTATAACCAGAATTCAAAAGTATTTCACAATACTGTGTTAGATCTAAAATTCAGAAAAAAAAAACAATGGGCAAAATAAAGAATTTCTGCAAGGGCGTGTCTATCAATTAGCACATCAAATTTAAAAAAAAATTTTAACATGAACTAAAACAAAAAGTAACTTAGTTTTATGTTCCGATGTTCATTAAAAAAAAATTACTTTTAAGAAGTTAAGTGTAGTTTAACTGATTTTGTTATGATTGAACCAATCACATTTGACAATTTCCCCCCCCCCCCCCCCCATTCCCGTCGTTGCCCTTGTATGGATTGTAGAGATGTCTTTCTCATATATTCCAGATACAAAGGTAAACATTTTCTGATTAATGTAAAAGATAAATTCCTACACACTGACAAAATTATTTAATTTCAAAAGTAATTACCGTTTTTTGTTTCTATGAACAATGTATGCACATGTAATGAGGCTTGAACTTACATCTTTTTAATGAATGTACATGAGTGAGTGGTCCAGTGGTAGAGCAAACTATGCTAACGCTTGACAAAAAGTCGGTTCTGGATGTTATGTCATAGGGACGGCCCAAATCTATTCAACTTTAACAGGTATCTATGTGGTTGATGTGTGGAATTGTGGCTTGGCATTTTGTTGACTACTCGATCCTCAAATAGGTTTAAAACATATGCAGATTGTAGTAAACACAACTCATCTGACCTATCAAAAATCATGTTAAACAGTTAAAAAGATGTTAATGTTGAATGATGTTTGTTAGATAAGGATTTTATGAAGATAACTTTTATATGTTAAAGAGATATTAAAGGTGACTGATTCATGTGCTTATAAATTGTTAAATGTGACTGATGAATGTGCTTGCTGAATACATACTATACATTTCTGATTATGTATTAATGAGATGTTAAAGATGACTGATGTTAGAGTTGGATGTTAAACTTGACTGATGCATGTGTTAATGAATTGTTAAAGATGACTCATGTAACTGCTAGCTAAATATGCTATTACAATGATTGATGTATGTGTTAATGAAATGTTAAACTTGACTGATGCATGTGTTAATAAATTGTTAAATATGACTGCATGTGTTAATGAGATGTTAAGTTGACTGATGTTACCGCTAGCTAAAGATACTATACACATTATTGATGCATGTGTTAATGTATTGTTAAATATGGCAGATGTATGTGTTAATGAGATAAGTTGACTGATGTAACTGCTAACTAAAGATACTATAAAAATTATTGATGTATGTGTTGATAAAATTGCATGTTGAAGTTGTTGCAGAAGTTAGTTACAGATATAATAAAAATGAATGATGTATGTGTTATTGAAATGATACAGTTGACTTATGCATGTGACAGTTAAGTTAAAAATTTGATGAAGAGTGTCCATAATTTAAAACCATTTATGTTTTGAATGTAAATATGTGTGTACTAGTCATCTAGATGCGATTGTGTTTTGTGTTCTTAGTAACGTATTGGTCGTCTGATGATTTCTGTAGTAGTGTTTTATGTACTTGGACTTGAAGAAAGAAATAAAAGTTATTTTACATCTGTGACTCTTTTTATTTATGACATTGATATAACACAACGGCAACCATTACATTGGTAAAGTATGTTTGGATTTAAGAAATAATGCTATACGGCATATCATACACCGCTATTTAGTAGTTTTATTTTCTACTTTTCAGTTATTCATAATTTGTGAACTTGACAGTACCTATGATGCCACTGAAAATATTTGCTTTAAAACACTATCAGTAGGTCGTTAAGGACTATACTACCCCCACCCTCCTTTCCCCCCACCCTTACCCTACACCCCCACCCCCCGTGAAAGCAGCCTCCTCTTAGTTACCTCCCCTAAGTTTAGAATCGTTTCAAACTAAATTATCTGCCCCTAATAGCCGTCACCAGACCCGGCTCAATGATTGTAAACATTTAGCGTCATCCACAGCTCACCAGACCACGTAGGGGTGGAGGTGGTAGGGAGCGCGCTTACAGCTTGTTTTCTAGCGTCTCCAAGAAGAGAATTATATATATATATATATATATATATATATATATATATATATATATATATATATATATATATATATATATATATATATGTTTTAATTTGAACGGGTTATTATAAAAGTTTATAGTCATGCTCAAGTAGGCGCTTTTGATGTTTGACTTTATAAGGTTTAGATGAAGGTATTTTATATACTTGCTTGGATGCAGATAATGATCAAGTACTTTCGGACGTGCTTATGACAAATGGTGCAGATAAATCAGTTTCCTCTGTTTCAATTATCTCGGTATGCGAAAAGGTAGCTCAGCATTATACGTAGCCGTCTTAATCTGACGTAACTGACAGCTTCCAGTATTTCTCACAGAGCTATGTCCTTGGGTAGATAATGATGGGTATTGCCTTGAGCCTCATTGCATACGAATGACCCAGACCGTAAGCTAAATGCACTAGCGGTAGAGGAAAACATTACAATATACAATATTCTGTTTGTAATGAGTGAGTGAGGTTTATCGGTGAAATGTTTGAAACAGTTCTACATTATAGAAGTAGGATCAACCTTTAGTCTGTATGAACTACACATTTGACCAGTGTTTCTTTCAGACTTTTTTTTCTCCCCAAAGATAGGTACTAGAAATTTTCGGGGGTAAGGTGGCGGAAACTGGTAAAAGTTTTATTTTCAATATAAACTACTTCGTTATAGGAGATAATAGAAATAATCTCTACATGCGACTTTTGTCATAATTTTGAGCTTATGTGCAACGTGTGACTACCACTATATTTAGTATCAATGTGCAGTAACTACGTGTAAAAAGTAAGAAATAAAGTTCCCTTTTCAAACCTGTCAGTCTATAGGGCAAGTGAAGTAGAGTTCACTTGTTTCGGTGACCTCGGCATATAAAGAGATAGTGTGGTGAGCACTATGCCCAGCAGCCTTTACTTTCCCTAACGTGAGTTAGGTACCCATCAGAGTACCCAGATTCGAACTCCAAACTTAAGGATTAGCAGTCCAGCTCTCTAGATCTAGACCACTCCGTCCCTACGTGAATCAAGCTTAAATCCGGTTATAACACCGAACCTGTATACAAATATATTTTTAAATATCATTTTTTTCGTTTCCTGTTAAATTTGATGTAGAGCAGGTGCTTTTGATTGCCATTCTGTCACTCTGTCTGTTGGGAACAATATAGAACCTGTAACTACACTTGGCTAAATGCATTTCATAAGTATAACACGCATGTAACACAATTTGTGTTTAGCGGCTCGATTCTAAATCATATTGGCTTACTGCCTTGTGATATTTACGAGATTTACAAGAAGTTTTATTCAGTAATAAAAAAAATATAAACAAGTATAAATAAATAAAAATAAAAAACAACAACAACCAGTGACAATAATTTCAGATTAATTTATTTTTAACCGAAACACTCTACATAAGAAGCGTACTGAAGGTTATGTATTGGAATCCTAGTTGTCTCTGTTAAATTGGCAATTCAGGTCTTTATTTTCATTTGATTTGTTAGTCTATTTCAATCATGTATGCGGGGTTCGTTTCAACAACTCATTTGATGAGTCTATTTTAAACTTGCTGGTTGTTTCTGTTGAAGGGGTATCTCGGGGTTGTTTCTCAACATAATGAGGGTCGTCTATATCATGCTGTCAAAATAACGATTTATATAATTTTAAATTAGCTTCAATATCAAAATTTAGTGATCATTAAAGTAAATTTAAACAAATAAAACCCTAATATCTACATGTAGTCTTGACGTTACCACATGCATATACTTGTAATGTTTTTTGTTTGTTTATTTTTCTGCGTAAATAAAATAGGGTAGGCCTATAGCTTGTGTCATAAGTTTAAAAAAAAAATAAACCGGGAGTTATCTCCCCTAAACTTTCGCGAATATTCTTATATGAAACAACAGGGGATGGCAACTCGGGATATAGACATGATATTTAATCCATTTTAAATACTTAAAGTTTTTAAAATAGAATAAAATCTCGTAGAAAAAAGAATTTCACACCAAGGGAATGCAAAATAAAATATGCATAATAGTGCTGAATATTATTAGTACTTTATAAATTCACATGCGTTTTTTGAGAAATCGGAAATAGCAAAATGACTACTTAAGGTAAACAGAAATTACTCAAAATTGTATAGAAGGCAGATAAATATATCTTTTACTTACACGTATATAAGAGAAAGAAAAACAAGTGCAATTATCAAAGTGATAGCAATGCTACTTACATCTAGAACGTCCGTATTAACGACAATAGACACCGTGCACAGAAGGCTGACACAGAAGAAGAAAACGAAAGGGCTCATGTTTATCTCAGTTGAGCTGGAAATAAAATGCATTTTTGATTTTGAACATAATTTCAAATAAAAAAATTTACACTTTACACACACAAATGCTTAGACACAGACATACAGACAATGACTATTACGCACACACACACACACACACACACACATATATATATATATATATATATATATATATATATATATATATATAATTTTATCATGTAACTTACCAGAATTATTTTTCTCGCTTAACAAAACGTAGAATAGAATGTCGTATGTTAAACAATATCAAACCCTCACCTTATTTATAGCACATATGGCCATTTTAAAAAAAAGCTTTAAAGATATGTTTTAATCAATATGGAAAACAAACTCTAAAGGTTCTCAAAATACGTTGCAACAGTGCACGATTGAAATAGAATCAATACTTGGAACTTTAAAAGATTAATCCAATCATTTATTTTACAATTTTAGTTTTTATTGTGGCGGTAAAAATAGTTTAAATAATTAAATACGAACGGTGATAACACTTTTTGAAATTTTTTAAAAATATATTTTAAAAAATAATGCTATGCTGAGTTTTTCATTATTTGCTTTACTCTTAAGACAAAATCAAGTCTATATCTCGAGGGTTCCCAGAAAGAACCGCAACGGAAAAAAGCGCAACGGAAAAAAGCGCAAATCAAAAAGCGCAACGGAAAAAAGCGCACACGGAAAAAAGCGCAAAGAGAAAAAAGCGCACACAGAAAAAAGCGCAAAGAGAAAAAAGCGCAAACGGAAAAAAGCGCAAAGAGAAAAAAGCGCACACAGAAAAAAGCGCAAACAGAAAAAAGCGCAAACGGAAAAAAGCGCAAAGAGAAAAAAGCGCACACGGAAAAAAGCGCAAAGAGAAAAAAGCGCAAAGAGAAAAAAGCGCAAAGAGAAAAAAGCGCAAACAGAAAAAAGCGCAAACAGAAAAAAGCGCAAACGGAAAAAAGCGCAAAGAGAAAAAAGCGCAAACGGAAAAAAGCGCAAACAGAAAAAAGCGCACACGGAAAAAAGCGCAAACGGAAAAAAGCGCAAACGGAAAAAAGCGCAAACGGAAAAAAGCGCAAACGGAAAAAAGCGCAAACAGAAAAAAGCGCACACAGAAAAAAGCGCAAACAGAAAAAAGCGCACACAGAAAAAAGCGCAAACGGAAAAAAGCGCAAACAGAAACAGAAAAATACGCAACCAGAAAAAACACAACGAAAAATGTGCAAAAGAGAAATTTAGCACAAAGACCATATGGACTAGATGACACATTTATACATGACTGTTAGGGCTGCTGTGAGAGTGTCGTGTTTGATCACGTGATCTACTACCATTTAAAGCGTACCACTACCATCTGCATTCCCATCACCACGATACAGGCGATAATCACTTCACACACTGCCTATTATTTTCTTGGTCAATAATTATTCAACTACTATTCTCGTATAAACATAAAACTATCGACATTACACGAAGTATCTTTCACATTCTCCCTAGTCCGAACTATCTAGCTTGCATACTATAACAACCCGTTCCTATGGCAAAACTTCACTCTCTTTCATCCGCGTCATCAAACATGCATCGTCATATCTCTCGTAACAACATTCATTCGCACCAAAATAACAATTTTGTATTTAATATTTTTTCACATCATGACGCACCTACCTAACTACCTACTACCCACCTACCTACCTACCTACCTATCTACCCACCTACCCACTTACCCACCTACCCACCTACCCGCATACATACTTACCAAACTACCAACCAAAACAGTATCGGCGAAGCTCGTAAGTTTCGTAAACTGTACTAGACATCTTTTTTTTAATGAAAATTCATTGACATCATTGACATATGTTACATATATGTTACATTTTGCGACAACCTTAATTAGTGCGTTGGGCTTGTATGAAAACTCACTTCAAACTAACTCAATTACATGCTATTTATTTTAATATTACACGGTAAGCGTCACCCAACTGTTGTGATGTGAGGTGAGGACAGGTTCGACATAACCCCCCCCCCCCCCATAGACCCCTCGGTATATATATATATATATATATATATATATATATATATATATATATATATATATATATATATATATATATATATATATATATATATATATATATATATATATATATATAAAGTATGAGGGGGTGGATATCAAAGTTTTAGGGCGGGGGGGGGGGTACAATCGAAAGTTTGAGGGGGGAAAAAGTCTGGAAGAAACACTGCATGTAGCCTGATGTTATTATAAAACTTCATCTCTCTTTGTTTCTTTATAAAAAGGTTATGGAAGGTTTTTAAGGTATTTTACTGAAATGTTTACCGGACGAATGCAAAATGATATAAACAACCATAGCTCTTCTGTTATATAGGCTACATGCAGTGTTTCTTCCAGACTTCCCCCCCCCCCCCTCAAACTTTCAATTTACATATATATATATATATATGTAACGAGTCCCCGAGTCTATCCTGCCGACAACGCCAAATGTAACGAGTCTCTGGCTACCCTGCCGACAACGCCAAATGTGACCTTCCCGAGTCTAACCACTCATTCCACACAACATTGACCACAGCATAGATACTCGAAGATGCAGGTTCATTATTGATCCTTTTATTACATGAATCAAAGAATGCTTCACAATAATATAATGAATCAAGAGAGATGTTTCACAATAATAGTCTGAATCAACGGACCCCCAACAGTCCTCACTAGGCTTCATCTAACTGAATACACATGTCTAACGTCCTTCTTAACACAGTATAACCAACTTGATACTGCCACACAGACTCACTGAGAGAGAGAGACTGACGGACTGACTGACAGACCTTCTGAGACCGACTTTCTGAGAGACCGACTTTCTGAGAGACCTCGAGCTCAGCCGTCGCCTTCCTTATATCCCCTTCATAATCGTACTCATATTCGGTCCTATCATAATCGTAATTGTAATCGATTCTAATCGTTACATCAGACTGTTAATTACGCCGCTTCTGTCGTACAGTCCGATTTTAATAAGCCACCTGCATCCTGTCACATCAAAGTTGACAGACCGTCTTTCGTATCGCTTCCCGAGATATTACGCCTTGGCATCAGCCAACACCTGCACTGTGACGTCAGACTGTAACACGTTATGTCTCTTGGTAACTTCCCCTAGTTACATCCACCCCTGCCTTTTTTTGTGTGTTATCAACCACAAACAACGCTTGGCAGGTGCAGTCCCTCAAAGTCCATCGCACCACCGTAAAAAAAAATCCATTGTTCCACTCACTGTCAATGTCGTCACATTCGTATAAGATTGACAGTTATCCCTATTTCACATATCCAATGTGTCTACATCATCTTCCTCAGACACAAAACAGTTCTAGAATTCACATCCACCTTTTTTCGTTTGGTGCCTTCACCAGTTCACTTTTATGACTTTTTGAACAGTCTGTTTTCATACCAGCGCGACCATGAAAGAATTGATGGTTGCTGACAAAAAATTTCGTATTCTTTCTGTTTCTCAAACTTCTCCGCGGACCACTTATCTGATGGTCTACTGTCTCTCTGCTTTTGGAGGGACCGGGATCCTCCTTGTTGCCGGTATCCTCCCCTTGTGTGTCGCTGTTGTTCTGTTGATGGTGACATGGTTCCGGGATGGGTATGAGAATTTCCGTAATAGTTTCCGGTTCCCTAATTGTCTTGGGTTTCCTTGTGTGTAACTGCTCCTCTTGACTATGACAATATTTCTTTAATTGAGCAATATTCGCCCACCGATCCGGTTTGGTGTGATCGATGGGTCTTATCTTAAAGGGGCCACCTGCTACTTTAGGCATCTCCACGACTTGCCATATCTCCTGTCCCCAGAGATCGTGGATTTTGTTTCTGCCTAATGGGTGGCTACGCAGTAATACCCTGTCGTTCAGTTTGAGTGGCGGGTCCTTTGTCTGTACCGGCGGTTCCCTTCGCCGTGCTTCATGTTCTAGTCTTTCCTGTACTACCCTGTACATTTCTCTAATTCGTCTCATATGTTCCTTCACATATTCCAGTGCAGTGTATGAGCCAGTCATACTCTCCTTTTTTCCTAGGAACAAGTCAAGGGGGAGTCGAGCCTCCCGTCCGAACAGCAACATGTGTGGCGAAAAGCCGGTTGTGGCATGGGGTGTGCAGTTGTATAGATATACCAACTCTGGGAGAAAATCAGGCCAACGTTTTTTCTGTTCAGGTTCTAGAGTACGCAGCAAATCATGCATGCTGCGGTTGAACCGCTCGCACTGTCCGTTTCCTTTCGGATTAAATGTGGTTGTTCTAGATTTGTTGATCCCGTAGTGGCTGCACAGTTGGTTAATTACTTCTGACTCGAAGGCCCTTCCTTGGTCAGAGTGTAATTGTCTTGGTATGCCATATTTGATGAACCAATGTTCTATTAAGACCTTTGCCACTGTTTTGGCAGTCTGATCTCGTGTGGGCACCGCCACAGTCCATTTGGTGAAAACATCAGTCATTACCAACACATGTTCCGTCCCATCCGATGATTGCTCCAACGACGTAAAGTCCATAGCCACAATCTCTAGTGGTTTTGTCGCTAATAGGTGTCCCGATGGCTGTCTCATTTTGACAACTGGCATTTTCGCATGCTGACACCTCACACAAACCTCACAATGGCGTTTGACCTCCATTTCCATATTGGGCCAGTAACACCTTCGTCGTAATATTTTGTGCGTCCTGTCCTGACCCTGGTGTCCTGCCCTGTCATGTGCCAACCTTAGCACTTCTTCTCGTAATTGTCCAGGCACCACCACCTGGTGTATTGTCCCATCAATTTGGTCATGAATTCTCCGCATGAGAACACCATCCTGTATACTGAGACGGTCCCACTGACTCAGTATTTTCTTTGTTTCTCGACCAAATTGTTCTCTTTCCCTTCTTCCTGGGAATTTTTGTTCCTGGACGTGTTTCAACAGCGGCTGTAAGCCACTATCCGTTCTCTGGGCATCTCTTATCTCTTTGTGATTAAGGCAACTAAAATCACCAATGTCCATATGTCCGGGCTCTGTGGAAATGTGCTCCACCCCGGTCTGTCCGTTCTGCCTCACTTGCACCCCGTGAGGGATATCTGTTGACGCTCTGACCTCACATATTCCTGTCAGCATTTCTTCCTCATCGCCCGGTCTCTCGTAAGGATTCCTTGATAAGGCGTCCGCATTGCCATTGGACCGCCCCGGGCGATATTTTATCTCTAGGTCAAAGAGTGCCAATTCTGCTGCCCATCGCTGTTCGATGGATCCCAACTTTGCTGTCTTTAG